CATAATTCCCTATTCTGTTTCTCTCTCTCTCTCCCCTCCTCCTCCTCCTCTCCTCCCTCCCTCCCTCCCTCCCTCCATTTCTGCATTTCCAGGACAACACACTTCACAACACACTTCATGCTAGTTCCTTCTTATGCCCAAGCCTCAAAAGGTCAGGGTCTCCTAGAATCTAGGCCTTGAGTTTCATTCTTTCCTATGAGTTGCTCTCTACATTCGAGCTTCCTCAGCTTTTCACCTCATGGACTGCAGAGAAAATAGTATTTCTGAGGCCCTCTAGGATAAGAGAGAGAACAGGGTTCCTGTGACCAGAGGGTTCCAGTACTTGGCTATCTGGGCACAGGTTCTGAAATGTTCGTTAGGAAAGCACAGTGAGACTTGGTGGAATGGTGATAAATATTTGCTGAATGAATAAATGGAGTTTTAGAGGACAATTTTTACAGGTGAAGCAAAGCTACAAATAAAGAAGGCAAAAAGGAGGTAAGGATATAGACTACTTTAGAAAATAAGGGTTAACTATGAGGTCTACCAACAGTAAAAACTATGCCTAGAAAAATGTTACTGTTGAGGAATTCCAATAAGTGATGTAACCATGAGCTAAACAGAAATATTTAAGCACAAGCACAAGCGTGCACGCATACACACACACACACACACACACACACACACACACACACAACATTGCACCCTTTGTTTCAACAACTGGAGTGGACCACACCATTTCCCCACTGCAGGGTGAGACAGGTAGGGAAAGGGCGCCACCTGCTGGTCCCGGATTTCTACACTCAGCAGACGTCCTCAATCAAATTTAACCTAGATGGAATTTGGAGGCCTAAACAGTATAGAAGGGAGACATTTTACTGGTGTGCTTAGATCAGTATAAGAAGTACAATTATGCTAATTAGTGATTATATTCGTGTTCACACAAGGCAAAGAACACCCACCCGAAGTGACATCATGGTCTATTCCATCCACAGAGATGGTGGCATTGGCAATTGGGTTTCCCTGAAGGTCCCGGACAAACCCTTTAACTCCGCGGTGTATCTGTGAAGGTCAAGAATATCCAACACGTTCATAATAGAAATGGCTGTAGGTATGTTTAACATCAAGTATCTCCTTATTTTCTAGCAATATTTTATTGGTCCACATTAAGGTTCAAAACATCCTAACCACCAGTGAATTTGTGTGCATTCTTTTCTGGGCTTTTTTTTCTCAAACAAATGAGAAGTAACCTTCTGAAAATCAATGTCATGTTCTGAGTCAGAGAAGGATTTTGAAGGACATTCTGAATAACGGAAAAGACTGTCACATTTGCAAAGTTTTGGTCTCGGCACATTTCAGTAGTCCCTCCCTTATGGATGTGGTCACCTGTGCACACCCTTTTACAGCACTTTTCTTTAACAAGAATATGAGAGCCTATTAAGACTAGGTCATCTGGATGAAAAGATGTAAGCTGTGCCTGCTGTTGCATTAAGCTCATTAATAATACATTTTGACTGTAGAGGCATGAAAGATCAGTGAACTTCATGACTGAAATTGAATTTTCTGGAGCTTGAAATGTATTAATAGCTCAATTGGTAGAATGCTTGTCCAGCATGAAGTTCTAGATTCAGTCACAAACTCTGGACAAACTGGGCGTAGTGGCATATATCTGTAATCCCAATGGGAGAGAGGTGGAGGCAGGAGGATCAGTTCAAGGTCTCCTTAGCAACACAGTGAATTCAAAAAAACAACCTAGGATACATGAGACCGACACTGTCTCATAAACAGAAAAAAAGGGGGACAGAAAGAGAGAGAGAGAGAGAGAGAGAGAGAGAGAGAGAGAGAGAAGTCCTTTTGCTACTGAGAACACTTAAATATTTTCCTACAGAGCATGGAATAAATCTCAGGCATCCCTTTTAATCCCTTTTATCATCAAAGAATAAAGCTGATAGTTATGCAATACCTTATCAGTGAGATGCCCCTGATTATTGGTAATAATTTTTGCATTATTTTTCAATCTCTAAAACTCTATAAAAATAGTATGTACATGTATTCTCTAAGGAAAATTTATAAAGGTATTTTTTAAAGCTGGATGTTGTCAGAAATAATGAATGATCATTTTAAAGGCAACTAGTTTAGTAGAAAGAGAATAAATACATCTTGATCTTTTTTGTTTAGGACTTAGTAAGTCTCAGCTTTCTGCTTATGAACTAACCAACCAAAATTGAAGGGTTGAAAACTATTCATTGGCAGCAAGGAACGTGAAAAGTTAGCTTTCTGAATGCAAAGGTGAGGGAGTAGAAGAGGACACAGGGAGAGCTCAGAACAGAAAACCAAGGACACATTGCTAATTTGTCATTTCATAACTGAAGCTGAGGTTTTGGATGAGGACTGATGAACAAAATTCAAAACAACCCTATCTTGTAAAATTCACCCGCAAGCACTTCATTTATCCCAAGATACTATAATCATGATACTACCAATATTTTTATAAAGCTTCAAGAAATGAAAATTTTCAATTTCCCTACCATTGAAAAATATGTCAAACAATCACCACAAAAAATGAGATTTGTCTTTATTAAGTACAAATATGCTGAGTTAAAGTTCACAACTTTTTCTGCCTCTACCACTCAAGAACTTAGAGTACACGTAGTTAAACACTTAAATAAGTAAATGTCGAGTTATTCTTTTCTTTATTCTTTTTTCTGATGTGGCAACTTTGCTGTTTGAAAAATTCCACTGAAACAACAAATTTCAGAAGAAATGTCACAAGCAGTCAGGAATCTATATTGGAAAACTCTGTTACTTCAAGGCTTTGCGAAGGAAATCACAGAAGCTCAAATTCCATTAGTGGCTTGTTTCTCCTGTGGTAACCTCTCTCCAGACTTCAGAACATTTCCATTTCAACCAGGTTAAAAAACAAGCAGAAGAGTCTCTGGGATTGCTAAGATCTATTTGTATCAGTTGCCTTTAAAGTCTTGTTAAAACTTGGTTGTGGTAATGACTTTTACATTATGGACATACTCTGGACTTTTACCTAACCTTGCAAACCGAAAAGTTATTGTTTGTAATGTACATAAGCTCACTGAGCTCTGTGCTCCTTCTGTGACCTGGTCACATGGCCTTAATGTCTCAAGACTCTTCCTTGCCCTCCATCCAAACAGCAAATAAATGTATGTATGTATGCTTTACATATCAAGGCATCAAAGTGTTGCAAACTGCTTTTTTCATTGAAAACAATGAGGGAAATTGAGAACCAGCTGTAATTGTGCATGTGGTCAAAGTCTAGGGATCCAAGAGCAAAATTCTTTTCTGAAAAGGTAAAAGTGGGTCTGGCTTTTACTGCCTCACTTCCTGCTGGATGTACTATTTCAATAAGAATAGTAAAGCCCTTGCTTGAGAGCAAAGTTCCAAGAGAAATTTGAAGTAACATGTTCTCAGCAGTCAAGGTCCACTCTTGGCTTTAAAACAGAGTTCAGCCTAGCTTTTAAAAACATCACCATAATGTGGCATAACACCTCACTTAGTGTCACCCACAGAACTTGCTGATGGGAGATACTGGGCTCCTTCACTGTAGAAAGTGTAAGTCCAGGGCAGGAAATTCCTTTTCTAACAAGATCCTTAGATGGTTTTGATACAGGTGCTCCAGGAACTGCTCTGAGAAATTCTCTGAGATTTAGACTATTCCACTGAATAGAGCAAACCTTCCTAGCAAACCATTTGCTCTAATTAACTTTACAATTCTAGTCCTGAAAACATCTCTTTAAAACTCTGCAAGAGATGTCCTCTCCACCAATTATAGAATTAGACCTAACCACTTATTTGCCATGAAGTAGAACCTATGTTAAGTCATGCTGAGATTTCAGGCAGGTGTTCAATCCCTAGTCAGTACAATTGTCAAGAAAACATTTACAGTGGAGGACTGGTCTTTTCTAAGCCTTTGATTCTAAAACTGAAGTATTCTATGATGCAGGCTGCCTATGCTCTTGTGATAAAGGCCTCTTACTACTTATACATAGCTTGCAAAACACCACTGATGCCAGATCAAAGCAAATCCTCCTCCAAAGTCACCTGAAACAGCACCATATACCTTCACTCCTCCCCTAATTTCGCTCCTACCATCAGACAATTTAGACCTGTGCCCACCCAGTGCAGTCTAACTAAAACATTACTGGCATCCATTTCTGGAATCTTCTTTCAGGCTCAGATGGAATCCCCTGGATGGAACTCCTTTTATGAGTCTTATACAACAGGTAAAGACTGCTAAATCACTTGATACTGGATAATGTATTTACCTGCTCAAGGTAGCTAATGAGAGAGTTTTTGTTATCCTCCCAGTAGCTTTTGAGAGTCTCTTCAGGTGGGAACTTCTCACAGCTAAGCTCCACGGTGATCTCAAAACAGTTACTGCTCAGGTAATTGAAGTCTTGCATTCCTGCCAAAGCACCAAATGGAACATCAATATACACACACAGTGGATAAGCCATTCTACTAAACTGGGAGGTTAAGTAAGAGGCAGACCAAACAGTATGTTGAGGAAGCCTGTGGGAAACCATAGGGAAATTGCCTCCCATAGAGCAGAAAATGTTCTTGGGAAATTCTTGTCTTAAAATCACGAACTCGTCTGTCTTAAACAATCATCTAACTCCATGCACACATGTTGTCAGGTGGGAGTAAAAGCAGGTGCTGTTGACATTCCACGTTGCTAGAACAGGCTTCAAGGAAGGCAAGGTGAAAGCCTAGATCCCTCCTGACCTATTAAATGTATTTCTCAGTAAGCTACCTTTCTATGAGGGCAGAACTGGGAGAGTCTAGTGCAATGACCTAACATGCTATTCTTTTGTAAATCTAATCAACACCAGAGTGTCTTTCTGAGGAGCTAGGACTCCTAATTATATACCATTTATTAACTCTATAAATATGGAGTATCTACTTTTTATTAGATATAATGTTAATAATAGTGAAAACTAGACCGGAGAGAAGATTCCATACCCAGAACAATTTCAATTGAATCCCATTCAGACTCACTGTGGATGCTATTAATGCCCACCAGACTGCTTCCATGGAGCCAGGGCACCCACCTTCAAATGACCAAAGTTTGACTGCTAAGAGTTCATAATTGCTCCCACTTTCCTGGATAATTGCTGATAGGAACCACAGAGCTTGGGAGCTTAAATCTTCAATCCCTCTTGGAAAACCAGACCTAATGGAAACACTCAAGATGGTCCTCTTGCCTAAAGGAAAGATCACCTGGCCTGTGGTTTATAATCTGGACCCTTTACCCAGTGATCCAGGCAAGGCTAGATATTCTATGAGACCACATCCTGGCTCAGCTCTATCCTTTTGCCTACCATCTTTTCCTACAGGGTTTTCATAAAGAGCTCTCCCTCAGTAAGTTACAAACAGCCAAATCACTCTCTCAGGCTCTGCACCTGGAAAACTTGTCCTAAGACACTGGTTTTATTCACTATGTAGAGAGTGTGATGCTTAGTTTTAAATGTCAGTTCAGTACAACCTAGAATCATTTGAGAAGAGAGCCTCAACTGAGAGATTATCTAGGTCACATTGCCTATGGGTATGTCTGTGGGGGGTTGTCTTGACCGTTAATTGATGTGGGAAGACCCAACCTATTGTGGGCAGCACCGTTCCCTAGACAGGGGATCTGAGTTATAAGAAATAGGAGAGAGCTAAGTGAAAGCAAGCACCCAGCATGGCTCTCTCTCTGTTCTTGACTGATGATGCTTTAAGTTCTTGCCTTGACTTTCCCACAAAAATAACTGCAACCTGGAATTATAAGCCAAAATTAATTGATGTGGGAAGACCCAACCTATTGTGGGCAGCACCATTCCCTAGACAGAGGATCTGAGTTATAAGAAATAGGAGAGAGCTAAGTGAAAGCAAGCACCCAGCATGGCTCTCTCTCTGTTCTTGACTGATGATGCTTTAAGTTCTTGCCTTGACTTTCCCACAAAAATAACTGCAACCTGGAATTATAAGCCAAATAAACTCTTTTTTGCCCTAAGTTGCTTTTGAGCAGGGTATTTGTCACAGCAATAGAAAGAAAACTAGGGAAAGAGAGTTAAGAACCTTCAAAGCATTCTTGATTGTTTACTATGGAATGTAATTTTGACTAAGATTAATACTATTGCTATGATTACTACTATCATATCAGCATTTGATAATACATATTACTTCATATTATGCAGATAACATACTATTCAGAAAATCAGATTCAAAGGAATCACTCAAGTTTTTTTTAACAAATATAAAATTGCTTTCTAACATCAAATGAAATAGGTATAGATGTATAATTACTTTCCATTTGATGTATTTGCTATACTCTAAATCCTAAATCTTACATAGAGCATATTTCTCAACTCATAGGGGGAAAAGTACTAGATCTGACCTGTCCAAATATAGAATATAAGTAAAAACAAAAGAAACAGGTGCTATAGAAAAACATAAAGAATATTTTCTCAGGGTATAATGAAACAAAAATTAAGCATATCTGCCTGAATAAAATCAATCTCTCTCTCTCTCTCTCTCTCTCTCTCTCTCTCTCTCTCT